CCGTGTGTGATGGGTTGTATGTCCTTAAAGACTGAAGGGAAAATGTTTCTGGTTAATGCCAGAGATGACTCAGAGGAGTAAAAATTACCATCTTCTGAGCTCATTGAAATAGTAGTTGGTGTGACATCTCAGAATTATTTTGGGTTTGTCCCTGGCTAAAGGCAATATGATCCCTTAGGAGTCTCAGTTGCTTATTGATTCCATAACACTCACTTGGAATGTGTTGTTCCAAGAATTGTCTACATACACCAAGAGATTTATACTCTAAAACACCAAGATCAGCATTTACAATCTCTGCTCTTTCAGCATATGTCACTGAGAAAACCCTAAACTTTGCCAAACAAGTTTTCATTCATGCATTCAACAAATATTTTACTGAATGGCCACCCTGGCTGGGTATCCAGCAGGGTATTGTATATACAGTGGCCTGGTGGATACTTTGTTTGGGGATATCTAGCATTCATTCCCATGAACCATCCTGCTCCCCCCGCCAAACATCTGCTCCCCTTTGAAAAGTGAACTAAGCAAATTTGTTTTTCTTTTTCTTTCTTTTAGAGTATTATTTCTTTCCTTCCGGATCCATTCTAATGAGGCTTCTGTACCTCCTCAAACCAAGAATGCTCACTGTGATCCAAGCCAGGTCAGTTGAATGCTCTCATTGTGAATTTAAAATCAAAACAGATTGATAAAGACTCTGAAAACAAGTTGTGATTTGGGGATTCCCAGAGATGGCTTTTCACTAGAATATTTTCTGTTGTTTCAGAAACAACAGAAAATAGATTTTAGAGCTTCCTTCTTCCTGTTTGTTTCCAAGCACTGTTCTCTGCCCTGACTATAAACTCCGGATGCCCTTCCAACGGAATCCTTTTTTATTAGATTACTCAGACAGATTGCTGTTGCTTGCATCCAAAACACCCGAAATAATATAAGAGATGAATGAAACAGACATTATTCCAGCTTTCAGAGCCTGTCAATTTGGTTGGGTAGACAGACACTAAACAAATAAAAAATATGTCATTATAAATTGTTGTAAAATAAATGAACGGAGTACTATGAAAGAGAATAATAGGGTAATCTAATTGAGATTATGGGGCCACTGGACACCTCAGCTGAGATCTGAAGGATGAGCAAAGAGTGGAGGGAAAGAGTCTTTCTGGCAGAGGGCAGAGAACAAACAAAGGCCCTGAGGCAGGCAGGAGGTCGTTGCATTCCAGGAACTAGTGGAGGCTGGAGTCTTCCGAAGGAGTGGCATGAACTGAGGCAGGAGAGGTGGGCTTGGGCCTGAGCATGCAAGTCTGATAGTTTATGGACATAATTTCAATTTGCTTTCAAAACAATAGGAACAAACTATCAGAAAGTTATAAGTCTGGCATAATCTAATTAGATTTTAAAACAGCCCCCCTTGCTACCGTATAAAGAATTGGCTTGTGGGGCAGACATAGAAAGTAATTGAGAGGCTTGGGAAGGATATGATACGGCTTGGGCTAGGGTGGTAGCAAAGGAGAGGAGAAAGCGAAGTCCTATTGGGAGGTAGAGGCATGAGTTGGCAAAACCACTGCTTCAGAGCCTGCCTGCCTTGTGGGCAAGGACACGGTCCTGCTCATTTCTACATCTCATGAAATGCCTAATTAACTTGTGCTTCTATAGGATCACGCAATTTACGAAGTGTTTCTGTGTCCAGATCTCACTTGATCCTTGCAGCAATCCGGAGGGGTTGCTGAAAACAGAGTAGCTAAGGCTGGAGGAAGAAGTTAATTGGCAATGGCGTATGCAGTTGGTAATAACCATGCCAGGACTCGCATCCTATTTCTGTCATTATAGCTTGCTGCCCAGCTCAGTGTCCACCCCCAGAAATGTTTGCAGATCTGAAAATGAACTGAGATCGTCTCCACTGCCCTCTGGGGTCCATTTGTTCCACCGAACCTGGGCTCTTTAAGATGGTCCTAGAAGCTCATTTGCATCGAGTTCCATTTCTCACCCTGTGGCTTATGTGACCACTGGCAGGCTTTGGCCAGCACACGTTAAAGGCTACATGACCCCTGGGGCTCCTAAAGGGTCATATTGCCTTCAGCCAGGGACAAACCGAAAATATTTCTGAGATGTCACACCCAGTGCTATTTGTCCAAATCACACATTCCTATCACCTTTTCTCTCACTCTGCCTGGATCTCCTTGAACGTTCTCTCAATCATTTCTGTCGTTTTCCCTGGAAAGCCTACTCCCTTCTGGATAAGTGTATGGACTGACAGCATCAGTATCACTTGACAACTTGTTTGAAATAGAAAGTCTTAGGCCCCACCACAGACCCACTGAAAGAAAATCTGGGGGTGGCCCTGCCATCTGTGCTTTAATAAGCCTGCAAAGTGATTTCAACGCAGACAAAAGTTTGGGAAACACCAGCCTAAATCTTCCCAGGAGCATCCTCTCAAGCTTCAGACAGCTGGGCTCAGTTAAAGATGTGTTTTATATGAACCCATGTCAGGGCCTGAAGTGTCTGATGGATCTTACCCAAGCTCTGCATGAAAGATGGTGACAGCTCAAAGCTGAATAATCTCTTTTTTTTTTTTTCTTTTTGAGACGGAGTCTCACACTGTCACCCAGGCTGTAGTGCTGTGGCCCAATCTCGGTACACTGCTATCTCCGCCTCCTGTGTTCAAGCAATTCTCCTGCCTCAGGCTCCCGGGTAGCTGGGACCACAGGTGTGCACTACCACGCCCAGCTAATTTTTTTGTATTTTTGGTAGAGACGTGGTTTTACCATGTTGACCAGGTTGGTCTCCATCTCCTGACCTCTGATCTACCCACCTCGGCCTCCCAAAGTGCTGGGATTACAGGTGTGAGCCACTGCACCCGGCCAAAGCTGGGGAGTCTCATGAAGCTATGCAGGGTCTTTGCAGGATCATTCTCTGCTGATCTTTAACCCACTGCTTGTGTGGACTGAAGCAGATCTTGAAGGAGGAAACCTGGAAGAAGGTATTAAAAGGGAGTTGCCCAGCCTTTCTTGCCTTTGCCCTTTGCATTCATGTCTCTATTGCCCATCAAACATGAAAACTGTCTAGAGCCAGGTTGGCTCAGGCTAACTGATCCCTTCGTGGAGACAGGGATCAGTCAGATAGGTAAACGATTACAGGTAGCCCTGATAAGTTCCATAGTGCGGGTGCATATTAGTTTGCTTTACTGCCGTAACAATGTACCATAGGCTGAGTGGCTTAAACAACAGAAATTTATTGTCTCACAGTTCTAGAGGCCAGAAGTCCATAATCAAGGTGTAGAAAGGGTTAGTTTCTCCTGAAGCCCCTCTCCTTGGCTTGTGAATGGCCACTTTCTGTCTGTGTCCTCTCCACGTGGTCTTTTCGCTGTGTATATATCCCTGGTGTCTCTTTTTGTGACACCTCTCCTAATCTCTCCTGCTTGTAAAGACACCAGTCATATTGAATTAGGGCCCCCACATATGACTTCATTTAACTTTAATCATCTCTTTAAAGATCTGCAAGTATGTGCTTATGTATTTATTTGGAGACAGGGTCTTGCTCTGTCACCCAGGCCAGAATGCAGTGCTGTGATCACTGCTCCTTGCAGCTTTGACCTCCCAGGCTTAGGGGATTCTCCTCCCTCAGCCTCTCGAGTAGCTGGGACCACACCCGGTTAATTAAAAAAAATTTTTTGGTAGAGATGAGGTATCACTATGTTGTCCAGGCTAATCTCAAACTTCTGGGCTCAAGAGATCTTCCCACCTCTGCCTCCCAAAGGGCTGGGATTATAGGCATGAGCCACCGTGCCTAGCCTCTATGCAAGTTTATAATCTATATGAGATATGTATGTGTACATATGTGTGTGTGTATGCGTATATACACATAACATACATACCTCACATAGATTGTATTCTTATGTCCTAAAACAACTCATTCTAGCAGATTTTGTATATATATATATGTATGTATATATATATATGTATGTGTATATATATGTGTGTGTGTGTGTGTGTGTGTGTATATATATATAATTATTATTATTTTGAGACAGAGTCTCCCTCTGTTGCCCAGGCTGGAATGCAGTGGCACGATCTTGGCTCACTACAACCTCCACCTCCCAGGTCTAAGTGATTCTCCTACTTCAGTCTCTGGAGTAGCTGGGATTATAGGCGTGTACCACCACACCTGGCTAATTTACGTATTTTTAGTAGAGACGGGGTTTCACCATGTTGGCCAGGCTGGTCTCGAACTCCTTACCTCAGGTGATCCACCCATCTCCCAAAGTGCTGGGATTACAGGCGTGAGCCACCGCACCTGGCCAGATTACATATTTTTTATTTTACAAAAGAGACATGACCTTCAGAAGTGATAAGTGACCCTCCTGGGGCCACCTTACTAGTGCCAGAGCTGGGATGCAGATTCCATTCCGCTGGCCCAGAGCTGAGCTTCTCGCCCTCCACTGCCCACCCCTGCCACCACCACCCTCTGATCACCTCCCATCAGCACTGACACAAGAAGGCAGAGCACGGCTCGCCTGACCTCAGCTGGGAATGTAGGCATTGAGTGACTCTAATGTCTTGGTTCCCTGCATATGTCCATGAGTGACCACAAAAATGCTGCAAATACTGATTTGGGGGTTATAAATAAATGTTAGGGAGTAGGTGAATTTGCAAATACAGAACAAAGCAAAGGTGGAAAACAGGGGGTATGGCATTTCTTTGTATCATTGAAGATAAAATCAACATCTTAATTTATCATCAGCCTCATAGCCATTGAGAAGGCTGGGATAACATTGAGTCCTTGACCTCTAAGAGATTTTAATCTGGTAGAGGAATTCTTAAAACAGCATTAGCTGAGTCAGAGCCAAAGCGGGGTCAGGCGAGAGGATGGGGAAGGAAGTGCTGAGGACTGAGACAGCAGAGATGTTAGAGTTCCCAAGAGGGGCCATCCCTAAGGGCCAGATTCAGGGGACTTTGGGGGAACGGTCACAGGGGCTGCAACTTGGGGCAGGTTTGGCACGAGGGGTTTAATGTGAGGGAGAGGAAGCCAGCGAAAGGCATTCTGGGCCTCATAGGTCAAGTTATAAAAGTTTCCATGAAATCTCTGCTGGTGTCTGGGACATATTCAGCCAAGGCCTTTCTTTAGCTGGGAGGGTGCAAATACCAGGTCCAGCCCAGAGTGAAAACAGCTGTGCGTCTCTCATGCGCCCCCTTGCCCCCGTGTCTCTGTTAACTCATCTGCACGTCGTTCAATGACAATTATGCTTTCTGGTTCCTCACCTATTCAAACCCTCAGACTGTAATGGCAAATACATCTCCACAGTGGCAACTAAATGCTGATTTTTGTTCTGCAGAAATCATGGCGCTTTGAGTCATGAAGCTGGGGGTGTGAGGTTTGCTTGGGCAGATCTCCTAGTGTAGGCCAGGAGTGGGTCAGAAACCTGCCTTAGAAAGAACACGGTCTTCAGATGCTACAGGGCAGTGTGGTGACCAGTAGAAACTCCACACTTATTGAGTGGCAAATGGTACAGGTAGGCAGCACCAGGTGGAGTCTTGGGAGGACAGCAAGTGAAACAGGAATGGCCGCAAACAAACCTCTTGAACACCAAACTGGGAAGGAAGGGGTGATTTATTCGGCCAGGAGCTGCAGCGGGCGTGAATGCCCCAATGGCTGAGCACCCTAACAAAGAAAATCCTTGCCCTTTTAAAGGCTTAGGACCCTAGGAATTACGTCTGAAAAGGTCTTGATCCATGAAGTAGGCGTGGGGTATGTGACTAGGTGGGGGTCTGACCGTGTTTAAGTAAAAACAATGCCCTCGGGGAAGAGTCCTCCAACCATGCCTGTGATCTACAGGAGTGCGATTAGGGTGGTGCCCGGGTCTGCCAGCCTTGACTTCTCCTATTGAAATGCAATGTAGAAGTCTAGGGAGAAGGGCTCTTAGAAACTTAAGAGGGTTAAGGGTCTCCTTCTTCACAAGGACCAGGCACAGGGAAATGGTGTCACCTTTACCGGTTCCTTATTTTCCAGTGGCACTTCCGGGTCTAGAGGTGGAGTCGCTGCCCCTGATTAACCAGCCCCAGGGCACTGCATCAGACCTGTGCCTTCCCTATACATTAAAAAAAATTATTAATTCTCCTCATATTAAGGGAAAAAATAGCCAGGTTTTTGAAAGACTCAGGATGAGCAGTAGAAAACTATCTTCCAATGGCTGCCAAAGAAAGCTGGTTGATCCTCGGTCTGGACTCATTGCTCTGAGGGCAAAGATGGTGTTAGTTTTCTCTGTAAGATCAAGGGCTAGCAGCCAAACCAACCAGGCAACCTACCAAATACTTTATTTAGTAGTCAAACTCTGGCTGCAAATTCGTAACTAACCAGGCCAAGGGAAAGGCAGAAGGGAGTGAATGTTTGTCCAGGCTCAGCAGGCAATAAGTAGTACATGCTGTGTGCTCTGGGAGAGCTGCAGGCCTCACTACCGAGGACACCTGACTGTAAGGTTTGCTCCATTACCCAGCCCTTCAGTTGTTAAACATCTTGTGAATTATAAAGGAATGAAACATACCACGTCCCACAGGCCTTGCTGGTTTGGCCGTGGTGCCTTCTTCCTGCCCGGGGTCTTTACGTGTTGTCCTTCCACTTAGAATGCTTTTTCCCTGTTCTTCACTTGCATAGCATCTGCTTAGCCTTCAGGTTTTAGGCAAATGTTACTTCCTCAGTGAGTTCTGTTGGACTAATAAACTGGGAATGTGTTTGACTGCAAGGGAGAGAAAACTCAACTTCTCAAGCTTAAACAAGTAGGGTTTATTTTCCTAACTTAAGAGGCAGGCAGAGGTACAGAGTGGAGGCTGATGATGCAGCCTGATGATGTTGTCAAGAACCAGTCTCTTTCTGTCTTTCCATCCCTCTGTCCTTACGGTACTTGGCATGCTGCCTTATGGTTGCAAGATAGCTGCCATGCCTCCAGGCATCACGTCTACACTTCAGTCCAGAAGAATAGGAAAGAACAAAGAAGAAAAGAGTAAGAACAAAGGCCATTACAGCTAGGTCTATTTTTTTAATCAGAAAAGGAAACTATTTTAGGAAGGCATAATTAACAGACTGGCTTTCATTTTTTTGGCCAGAAATAGAGTACATGGCCTCTCCACAGCCAGTCATTGGTCAAGGGAAATGAGAGTTCAAAGACTGCTTAGAACCACTTTAAGTCATTCTGTGAGCTGGGTAAAGGCCTGAACTCTCCAAGACAAAATGATCTCTAGGTACCTGAAATAATCAGGGTTGTGTTAGCAACAGATATTGTCTGTTACATCCTCCCTGGCTAGCCAACGAAAGGAGCCCCTTATACTCTGAAAGCCCTTGTGCAATTTGCCATTATATGTTCATTTATGTGTTTACTTGTATGATGCCTAAATGCAGCACTAGACTTAAGGCTGCAGGAGGGAGGATGCTATAAATGCTTTGTTCCCTTTTCAACACCGAGCATAGCACTGGGCACACAGTAAGCTCTACAGGCATCTTTATTAAACCAGTAAAAGAAACAGGATAGGTGTGGTGGTTCACACCTGTAATCCTAGCACTTTGGGAGGCCAAGGTAGGAGGATTGCTTGGGGCTTGGCGTCCAGGCCAGGAGTTAAAGGCTCGCTTGGGCAACATAGGGAGATCCCATCTCTACAAAAATACAATGCAGCCATAAAAAACGATGAGTTTGTGTCCTTTGTAGGGACATGGATGAATCTGGAAACCATCATTCTCAGCAAACTGACACAAGAACAGAAAACGAAACACCGCATGTTCTCACTCATAGGCAGGTGATGAACAATGAGAACACACGGGCACAGGGAGGGGAACATCACACCCTGGGGTCTGTTGGGGGGTTGCAGGCTGGGGAGGGACAGCAGGGTGCAGAGAGGTTGGGGAGGGATAACACTGGGAGAAATGCCTGATGTAGGTGACGGGGGGATGGAGACAGCAAACCACCATGGCATGTGTGTACCTATGCAACAATCCTGCAAGACCTGTACATGTGCCCCAGAACTTAAGGTACAATAAAAAAAAATACAAGGATTGGCTGGGCTTGTTGGTACACACTTGTCGTCCCAGCTACTCGGGAGGCTGAGGCAGGAAGATGGCTGGAACCCAGGAGCTGAGGCTGCAGTGAGCTGTGATTACATCACTGCACTCCAGCCTGGGCAACACAGTGAAACCTGTCTCAAAAAAAAAAAAAAATCCTTGCTGAAGAGGTCATCCAGGAAGCACAGAAATAGCTGAAATAGCTCCTGCGACAGGGACCTCCTTCTTTCCGTTGACAGCCCTTGGTGTTTCTGGTCAGAGTTTTTCCTAATGTTGATCTAACTGCCGGTGATTTCCACCCTTATGGGCTGAATTGTGTCCCCACGAAATTCCTATTTTGAAGTCCTAACTCCCAGTGTTTTAGCTTCAGAAGATGACTGTATTTGAAGATGGGGTCTTTAAAGAGGTAATCAAGTTTAAATGAGGTCACTGGGGTGGGCCCCAGGCCCCACCCCAATCTGACTGATATCAAATAGGAGATGAAGACAGACACCGGCCTGCAGGGAAGACAGCCACGGCAAACCAGGGCGGGAAGGCTCAGAGGAAAACAACTCTCCTGAGACCTTCACCTTGAAGGAGACCCTTAATCACACTTAAGCATCTAAGACCACCTCCCCCTTGACTTTGACATTGCATTTCAATAGGAGAAGTAAAGGCTGGCAGACCGGGCACTGCCTTTAATCACCCTCCTATAGATGGCAGGCATGGTGTGGAAGAATCTTTCTGGATGGCATTGCTTTTACTTAAACACGATCAAACCCCCACCTAAGTCACATACCCCACCCATGGACCAAGACCCTTTCACATGTAATTTCTAGAGTTGTAAGCTTTTAAAAGGGCAAGGATTTTCTTTGTTAGGAGAGCTCAGCTATTTGGGGCATTCAGACCCGCCTCCAGCTCCCGGCTGAATAAATCACCCCTTCCTTCCTAGCTTGGTGTTCGAGAGGTTTTGTCTGTGGGCTGTCCCACAACAATCTGAGATGGCTAGCTCCCAGAAAAGCGAGAAAATCAATGTCTGTTGTTGAAGTCACCCGGTCTGGAAGACTGTTAACGACAGCCTCTGAAGACAAGTACAGCCCCTCTCCACTGCCGACCATCACATACTTTGAGACTCCCATCAGACTGGTTCCGCAAAGTCTTTTTTTTTGTAAGTACATTTTGTAGCAGGGAACCAAGTCAGCTCCCCTCTAACTCCAAAACTTGTGTCCTTTTTGTTTATCAAAGCAGCCAAATGGAAGATAGGCAGGGGGTTTAATTTGTTTGCGTGCAAGTTTCTTTTCCTGAGGCAGTAGTGTCACTTTGCATTCTTGATCTCTCCTTGGATTGGTGATAGTAGAACAGTCCTCGCTTGGGTTTTCTTCCAGAGCATGCGCGTTAACATCGTCCAATTCGTATAAGCAAATAATAGCCAGATGTGATTCATTCTTGCCCGAAAATGTTGATACTTAGAATAAATTTATGTAAGTGTCTCTGAATACAGCAAATGTTCCTTTGTTAGTGATTTGTGGTAGCTAATGTCATAATAGTGATCTCACTTCAGCAAGATATTGGCTGTCCCCTCGTGAGTAGTGTGTTAGTCAGCAGCCACCACAATGTACTGCATGACAAACTACTTAAATCTTGTCTTAATGCCTGTGGGTTGACTAAGACAGCTCTGCTTTAAGCTGAGCCTCAAGCTCCTATTTGCTTCACATCTCTCATTCTTGACCCAAGATTTGTGGCAGTGGTGACCTGGAGCATAATCTTCTCATGATGGAGGTTAGAGTCTCCCAGAGGGGAAGGCAGAAATATGATGGCCCTGAAAATATAGGCTTGGAGTGAGCATCTTTTCACTTCCACTCACATTTCATTGGCTAAGCAGTCACAAGAACAAGCCCAACGTGAATGTGTCTGGGGCTATCCTTCCTCCGGGGAGGCACGATGAAAGGAGTGAATATTTGTTCAACAGTAATCTAGTCTACTGCAGGCGGTCAGGGGAGGCCTGGGGTAGAGGGCGTCAGCCTGGGAAGGCCCTCTACCCCAGGACTAGGCTTCTGTCAAGTAGTGGGGAGATCCCAGGGAAGTTAGGAGTGGTTGGATCTAAAGAATGAAGTAATCCTTAACCTTGGGAGGGTCCAGGGTTGAGCCTGAGTGTTCAGAACTGTGATGAAGTCCAAAAGGCCAATGGTGTATCCAAGAGCAGGAGCCTGAGGAAAGACAGGAGTGCATTCAGGATTGTGCTCTGGGGAACCCGCGGCATTTTGGAAGGACCTGCTGGTGTGAGGATGTACATACCTGCTGGAAGATCGCAGGTTGGGAGGTTATACAAAATCCTCTCGCGGTGCTTCCCTACTTCTCTCTTCATATAGTCCTTTTCATATTTACCCTCCTCTCTGGGGCCCACTTTTTCTCCCTCTTGCTCAGCCCTGCTTTCAGACCATATCCCTTCTTCACTCATCCATGCCTCTTCCCACAAAAATGTCCACA